AGTTCAACAATGCCTGGGTCAAAGAAGGGACAGAGTGTCTTGGATGCAAACAGGAAAGTAAGTCATTGTGACTTGTCTGTTAATTGTAACGATGTGTCTGATGCTAAGCATGACATGGTTGATGTTACTGTTTCGCCGTTCAGGGATAATAGGAACATCAAACTCCCTAAATTAGAACCACGTTGTTTTGATGGAAACCCAGCTGATTATTTACAATTTGTAAAGGAGTTTGAGATCATGTTGAGTGGTTTTTTATTAAATGATGAATTGAAGTTAATGTATTTGATGAGATATTGCACTGGAGATGCTGCAAGAGCTATACAGTGCTGTAAGTTTATGAAGCCAAAAGAGGGCTACTACGAGGCTATGAGCATATTACGTCAAAGGTTTGGAAGACCTTCGATGATTGCAGGGAAATTATTCGAGACTGTTAAGGGTAATGGTGGTCAATTACAGGATGACTCCCAGCCACTCACTGAGTTTTTAGATAATTTGCTAATTTACAAGAATGCAATGATTTCGATGAATCGCATGAGTGACCTCAACTCGAGTTTTATACTAGAAGTAATAGCAAGACGCCTACCTACTCGACTGCAAAGGAAGTGGGTGAAGATAAGCTCCCGTATGGAGGATGAGGGTATCAAGCTGAAGTCCGATGATATTCTGAAAGTGGTAATAGATAGCGTCAATCAATCTATGAGCAAGTTCGCCAGTCTATTACGTCTCACCCCTAGAATAGAGCAGTCTGAGATCAAAATGCAATCATTGATGACGAGTAGGCCTCAGAGAGGTGGATATCGAGAAGGCTCCATGATGTCTAGTAATGCATATAGACCTAGTGAGTGTAACAGGATTCGTAGTACATCCTCAACAGATAAGTTACAAGATGCAAGACAAACACGGTTGTGTTTTACACGTTTGCAAGAGGTGCATACAGAAGTGAACTGTGAACCAGTGAGCAAGTTCAGTGATAAGCTAAATGTAAACTCCAGGTCTGACTCCGAATTGTGTGACGATAACGGTGTTGTGAAGAAGTCTGTAGTTGCAACTGGTAAGCCGTTGTTGAATAGAGTGTCACAGAATAGAGTTACTGCTTCAGAGTGCAGTTCTGACTCCAAAAGTTTACAAAGTATAACTAGTCAGAGTGAAGATATAAAACCTTTAATGATTTGTGAGGAGGAACCAAAATTGTCTACTGCTGTTAACAAAGAGTTTGAAAATGATGAACTTGACGGTAAATTGAATATTTGTGATAATGATCATGATAGTGCAGATTTGTCTTTGGTTGATCATGATGAGATGGGTGGAATGCCTACTACTGCTAAGTTAAATAAAGGTTCTGTACAACTACAACGTGAAGTAGAATTGAACGCAGATGCAGTTGCAGAAGGTGTGCATACTTGTGAGACAGTCAGTGTAATTGATCAGCGTGTAGCCCACCTATCATCAGATGATAGTGCTAAACCCGAACTAGTAGCGAAAGACAACAGTGGTGGTAATCTTGCAGTTAGACAAATATCTGAAAGCCGAAAAAGAACAGCTTCTGAACCACTGCTAAGTTCATCACCTTGTGTCACTCAGTCATCGTTGGTGTTTTCATCCACAATGAGAAGGACGCCCATCAACTTCAGTATCTTGTGCAATGACTATGATAGTATTGGTGCGTTTGAAAAGACGAAAGATATTGCTCAGTTTAGTGAGGATAAGCCAAGTGTAAACGAGAGAGTAATTGTTAAATTGACTTGCATGAATAAAGGCATTTCTAGTTTCAAGTTACTATTTGAATGTTATTATCTTTGGTGTAAATTACTCTGTTTCTACACTTGGTTGACCAGATATGTCGTATATTTGTTCGTCATCTATATTCTACGACACAATGACATGAGCGTGTTGCCGTCCAGATTTGAGGATATAGCTCATAGAAGGAAGTTTGCAAATGAACTCTGCGACGATTTTCCACCCTAGAGCGTCAACCTGAGAAGGGTTGTAGGAGTACTGCTGTAGGTCCTACAATTCTTCAAAAGGTAGCACATCAATGAGCAGTCCAATGTGCTCGGTGTGTGATTTTGTACATATGTTCATGTTGTATATACTGAATTGATATCATCTTTCATCTATCTGTTGGTAATTCTGTTTGTGTCCGGACGACTTCCACTTGGATCATCAACCTGAGAAGGAATGTAGGCGTACTGCTGTAAGTCCTACAGTTCTTCAAGGGTAGTTTGTCGTGCCAGAATCCACAACATTTGATGTAGTGATTGTACATATGTTTGTGTTAAATAGTTGTGTCAGTTCCAATTATCGTAATTGTTGGTCAATCTTGTTTGTGTCTGGACATTCCACAACTTACAATCGTCAACCTGTGAAGGGTTGTAGGCGTACTGGTGTAAGTCCTGCAATTCTTCAAAGGAATTCCATCAAGACATGATCGGCGAGGTTATGTGTACTGTTTCTGTATACGTGTGGTGTGTCTTATCAATTGGTGTATTTTGGATTAATTGTGTTTACTCGTTGTTTTCGTACCTTGTTGATATTGCGTAATTTTGTTAAATTTTTCGTCGTGCTTGCTTCCGAAGTTGTTTCGAGTCTTCTACATCCGTGAATGAATTGATTGATGTTAAAGACAGCAGATGGGTCGTATACGCCGGGAAGGTTAGTGCTGAGAATGACATACACACAGAGACAATGACTAGCTGTGGTCCCACACGCCAGGGAGCGAGAGTGTATACGGCTGAGGCTTGCATACGTCACCGTTACTAGGACTGAGGCAGAATGAGTGACAAGCGATCCCAGTGGTAATTGGTAGTTGAATAGATAAGAGGATGTGTAAAAAGTATCATGAGGTGCTGCTATGGTCACGTTGGGTTATGCAAGAGTCATTCTAGCAAGTGGCGATTGTGTTACAAGATGTCAAGAGGATGTCTTTAATTCGAAGGTGTAGGTCGTCATCGATGTGTGAGGTTGTGCTGTGGATATGCTTGTGGTGTGTTGGCTATTCTGTTTGTTTTCCATTTCAGCCTTGTCCGTGTGACCCAGGTTCTCGCAATGGCATCCAAGTCAACGTGCATTGGTCGTGATGGAAAAGAGGGATGGATCCCATTTTTGCCGGGGAGTGTCAATGTAGTTGAAGATTGAACGATCAATTCTTGGTTGTTTGCTCAATATCAACTTCCCCAGTTTTCGCGGAGGCATCAATACGACAGTCATCTTCTCATCGGTCGCTGTTCAGAAAGAAGTCAGCAGTAAACCATCAGAAGTAATATTGTGATTTATTATTGTAATATTTGTTCACAGACCCTAGTAAAATCATTATTTTTATATCTTGGCGTAACAATAAAGAATTCTCGAGTCACCAATCGGTCTTTTGGTTTTTTCGTCCGTTATTACTAAGCGTTTCTGAAAACCTGCAAGGAACAGCGTGAGCCCGAGCGTAGCAAGTGCTGGGCATTAAGGGTTTATGAGACGTGGCTGACACCAAGCTTCACTCATCAAAACGCTCTACCCTGAGCAAGACATTCATGTGCTTCGGAAAATCTAGGTGGGACGTATCTAACTGCTTCATTAGAAGCTTAGACTGTTATCTTTTCTTTTCTAATAGCAACCTAGACATTATCCTACTAGCCTTTCACCAGAATGTTTCTATTTGCTTTGATAATCTTGTTCCTAAATGTAAAGAGAACCCAAGGGGCAACATAAAGAATTTCATTCCTATAAAAGTAAAGGCTAAGCTGCGAACGCTGTACCGACAGTACCATAGAGAAAACGACTTCTCATGTCTTCTAAATATACAGAACATTTACCTAGTTCTGAAACAAAATAACGACAAAACCCTACTCAGACAAGAACATGCAGCTCTTAAAGATAGCTCTAAATACACTGCAATCTGTAGGCTTCATCGCAAAAGGTTAAACCCCCTAAAACAGACATACAATTCAATTTAGAAAATGGTGAAACTGCTAGTGACCCTAAAATAATTTGTGAGCTTCTAAACTCCTATTTCTCATAGTCATATACCTATGGTGATAGTACGTTGCCACAACCTCTATTTCCTGTACGTTCACAAAAAACCCTAGAAATTATCAGCTTTTCTCTAGATAATATTAAGAAAGCAGTCACTTCTCTTAAAAGTTCAAACAACCCAGGTCCTGATATGATTCCCTCAACTTTTTTAAAATACGGTGGCGAAGACATTCCTATTCTCCTTCCTAAATTGTTTTTAATAATAATAATAATAGTATATTCTCATTTTGTACATGAGAGACGCCAGTTTACAGGCATCATCAATATGATAAATTACATATACGATTAGCAATCATAATTAATAATAATGTTTTAATAAAATACACATTTTTTCCTACCTGTGTAGGACACACCAAATATACAGGCATGGATAAGCATTATTTAAATTTCATAAATTTGGTTCATGGTTAAATTACATGGTTGCTGGCGTTTTTGTCTTAGGTCTGTGGGAACAATATATAACCAGTCATTCAATGGAGCACGTCATGAAATATAGGAATATTAACTTCGCATTAACAAAAAAACCCAAGTAAGTTTTGGATGGATTAAAAATACTTGGGAAAAAATAAAGCTTGAAGTTATTCCACAATATAACAAGTCATTCAATGGAGCACATCATGAAATATAGGAATATTGTCTTCGCATTAACAAAAAAACCCAAGTAAGTTTTGGATGGATTAAAAATACTTGGGAAAAAATAAAGCTTGAAGTAATTCCTCAATATAACTTGGGTGTGTACAAATCCGAATCTTATTTTTGATTTGATTTATATCCAAATTGGGTAATAAGGAAGCTATTTTTACAGATACGATCAGTTATGTTATAAGCTACAATCGTGACGTTGTATTACAAATTGATACTTTTCCATTGGTATAAGAGTATATTCCACAAATGTAATCCAGGTTGCGTCGTGGAGAAAGTTAATTCGTTATTAACCAGGCAACTGAAAGATACTGGACCAATAATGTTTGCAGATCATTTGTCATTGTAAATGGTCAAATATCCACATTATTCATTCTCATTCAAAAAGTCAAATGGAAGCTGAAATGGTGAGAGAAAAAAGAAGACAAACAACAGCAACGCAAAAGAAAGCAACGGGAGTCCTTAAGGAGTGATTAATAAATATATACATATATATTCTGTTTAGTAACTGTGGTTATTTTGGTACACAAACTAACTAGTCCCGTTATGCTAACTTTTATATTATGTGTAAACTAATATTACTGTCCTGTGTAGAAATGTTAATCATCTAGTTCCAATAATATTAAAATTTATAATTGTAGTTTGTTGTAACTACACGTTTAAAGAACTTAAAATATCTATGTAGGGTGAAAAAGAAGGTGTAAGAGTCAGGCGCAAAAGTGCATTGTCATCTTTGAGTAGTCTGGTGACTGAGGAGATGAACACTGGAAGTGTGTTTGCATCGCGCACATTAGCTGGTAGTCTATTCCAAATGACTGAAAACTTATTTAAGAAGAAGTTGTACCGCACGTAAGTCTGACAGTGCTCCATAGCAGCTAGGTTGTGATGATTTCTAAGATTGTAACTGATGACAGCGGTAGGTTTAGTTATTGGCTCGGAGGAATGCAAGAGAAGATTAGTTAGCTTGTAGTAAAAGATAAGGTTTAGCTTAAGGCGTCTTTTCCAGAGGGGTTCTAATCTTAGTCTTTCGCATCGCTCATGGTATTCCAGACCACTTTCTAAACCAAGAGTTCTTGAGGTAAACTGCCGTTGCACTCCCTCTAATTTAAGCTTGTCATTTTGTCTGAGTCCGCTAAGAATAAACGGGCAGTATTCTAAGATAGGTCGGACACATACTTTGTATAATAAAACCCTAGTTTCACAACAAAAGAAATTGCGTGTTATGCATCCTATCAGCCTTCGCGTTTTACGTCTGGCATAATCAGTCTGTTCAGCGAACGTTAGGTTACTAGAGTATCTAATACCGAGATCTACGACTGAGTTGAGCTTAGCTAGTTTTCGCCCATTTATTTCAAGAGTTAGATCAAGGTTACTGTTGCCAATACAAATCCAGCCGCATTTGTCAATGTTAAAATTTAGACAGGAATCGGCACACCATGATGCGAGACTACTTAGTTCAAGATGTATTTTAGTAACCATATCGCTTAATTCATGAGTGTAGCAGGAGTAGACGACTTTGAGGTCGTCAGCATATAGGAATGGTTTGCCTGAGGTGAAGCACTTGCAAATGCTGTTAATGTAGACTGTGAATAAAAGTGGACCTAGGACACTACCTTGCACGACCCCACTTGAGATCTGCCTAGGATGAGACAATACAGATCCAACTTTGGTTATTTGTACCCTGTTGCTTAGAAATGATTTTAACCAGTTCAGTAATGGGTTGCGAATTCCACAAGAGTACAGCTTCTCAAAGAGAATACTGTGAGATACCATGTCAAATGCCCTAGATATATCGAAGTAGAGAACAACGACTAGCTTACGTGCTTCGCGACTACTAGTGATGCAGTTGAAAAAGTCGAAGTGGCAAGTAACGCAGGATCTATTTTTGAGAAATCCGTGTTGAGACCTTGTAACAAGATCTTCCCTAATTAGGTAGTCTGACAATTGATCTTTACAACTTTCTCCATGATTCGTGAGATAACTGGGGTTATATTTATGGGTCTGTAATTGCGGACGTTTGCCCTATCACCAGATTTGTAATGTGGAATTATGAAGCTAGTTTTCCACTCACTAGGGTAAGTGCCAGTGTCCATAGATATTGAGAAGAATTTAAGAAGTAACAAGGGTATATCACACCCACTGTTTTTGAAAATTATCGAAGCGAGGCCATCCGGTCCCGTACTAGTGGAAGGTTTAAGGCTTTTAATTGCTTGTACTATTAACTGATTAGTGAACACAATGCTTTCAAGGGAAGAGATAGTAAGGGGAGCGGTTTCACCAGGCATATGTGTTTCTAAACTAAAGTTTGCAAACCAATCACTGAAGAGTTCACAGATAGTGGCAGGTTCATTGTAGATTACTTTGTCGTGAAGTAAGTATGGGATTTCCCTCGCCGACTGCATTCGTTTTTTAAGAAGTGCCGTTAAGTTATAAACTTTGGAGGTACTTTCAAGTGCCGTTAACTCTTCGTCGAGGTCCTTTTGAGAGCGTAGGCGCTTGAGAGATTCAAGAGACTCGTGGATTGAGAGCAATAGTGATATGTCCTTAGTGGAATAGTACTGTTTCTTCAGTTTCCTTAACTTATTACGGTGTGCCCTTGGAATATATTCAGTTCGGTGTCTACTTAATTTCACTATTTTCTTTGGAGCAACTGTATCTAGACAAAGGGTAACATTCCTGTAAAACAGGGTTACTAAGGCCTCCAGGGAGTCAGTGGTAAAATAGTCATCCCATTGACAGAGTCGAATAAGTTCTTGGACTAATCCCCAGTCTGTATATTTGTAACTACGACATATTGTGCTTCCTGAGTCTTGTTTGTTTCCTGTATTTAGTGGTGAGAAAGGCAGAGAGCAGAGTACCATTCTATGGTCACTACTGGAAAATCGATTACCAACATACGTGGATACTGGGATTGTGTCATGACAAAAAACAAGGTCCAACATGTTGTCACCACGAGTAGGTGTCTGGACGTGTTGTTGCCATCCATAACAGTCTATAGTGGCAAGTAATTCGTCGAAGCGTTGGGGGCCGGAACTAGTTAGCCAATTGACTTCTGGAAGATTGAAGTCCCCTGCAATTATTTTGTAATTAGCACTAAACGAGGATGCGTGTGCAAACGATTTAGCTAATAACGCATCAGTTTCTTTTGTTGAGCTTGGTGCTCGATAAACACAGCCTATGAGAAGTTTGTACTTATCTCCATGTAAGACAACCCAGAGTGAGTCAGGTACATTATTCATTGTTTCATCTTCCACCTTACTGACTACAAATGAGCTATGTATATATGAGACATCCTCCACCACGCTTGCAATCTCTGTTTGCACGGTGTAATCATCGATACCTATATGCACATCAAGTACAGAGGATGAGCACCATGACTCAGTAATCAGAGCTACAGTAGGCTTGGCGACTAATAATAATGTCCTTAGTTCAGATATCTTATTGATTAAGGAACGTGCATTAATTAGCAATATCGTGAATAAGTCACGGGATACTACAAACTGGCTTAAAATGTCACCATAACCTAAATCTATTTGTGCGTCAGCACCGCAAGAATTTATGAATGAAAGGGGGGTCGGACTGGGTGTCTGTACATCGGGGTTGGTGTGCAATGAAGTGGTCCTAGGTGCTGTGGGTCGTACCAGTGATTCAGGACACCTGGAAAATTTAGCATGTGTTCCTGGATATAAGGGTAGTACAGGTTGGGCCTAGGTTGACGGTTAAAAGGCATAGCATCAGAAGGTCTACCCATCCAACTGCTATTCGTCATACCGGTGTAACAACAGAAGACAAGGGCGAAGCAACAGATCGTTTTATTATGAAAATCAACACGTATTTATACATCTTTCAACTACATTATTATAGACAAGCGCAGTCATCTGATTGGTTGTTTAGGTAGACAAACGCAGGCTTCTGATTGGTTGTTTCGGGATTCCTTGACAAATAGAGTTCTCTCTGCGAATCATATTTTGCCACGTTAACTTTGCTGTGATTGGTTGTTGACTCAGCTTGTTCATATTTTCTCACGGCCCATATTAGTGACCTAGACCTTAACGTAGATTAGTGCCAACCAATCGGCTAGCAGCCTGCTCTCACCACACTCGTCCCCCCGTCAAATAGCTTCGTGCGCAGACGTTCCGACCTTCTGGGTGCTACATCCTCTAGTTGAGGATTGTTACTGACCGGCTTGTCCCACTGTACCCATCTTTGGAGCTGACTGGCGTTAACTCGTTTCTGTTTATCACCTCTTCGGATGGTATATACTTGACCCCGTCTTTTTGTGATTGTGTATGGTCCTTCCCACTTTGGAAGGAGTTTCCGTGAACCTAGCCCGCCTCCAACTGTATATCTCCTGTCTCTACACTTCACTTGGTCCCCGACTGCAAAGGTAATGCACTGCGTCCTTTCTTTCATCTGAGACTTCATGACATCACTGCGCTGCTTCCGTATTACATTCTTGACTGCCTCTTTCCTCTCTGCTTTTAATTTCGTCGTACTCCACTTTTGGTGCATGGGCCAGGTCTCATTGTGTACCGGAAATCGTGGTTTTCTACCATACATCAGTTGGAAGGGTGACTTCTTCGTTGTTTCCTGAGTGGTAGCCGATGTGTTAGTAAAATCAGTGGAAGCTCCGTTTCCCAGTTCCCGCCCTTCGAGGCCAGCCACTCCTTCAGTGTACGGTTGTTTCTCTCCGTTAGGCCATTCGTTTGTGGATGGTATGGGGTCGTTCTGATCCTCTTGATGCCCAGCTGTTGCAAACGGGAAGTAAACTCTTCACTCTCGAAACAGGGACCTTGGTCTGTCAGTATTGTCTTCGGTACGCCGTGGTCTGCAACAATGTGTCTAACTACTGCATCTGTCACGGTTCTTGCACGTTGGTCTGGGATTGCTACGGCGTCTACCCATCGTGTCGCGTGTTCCGTCATTACCAAGAGGTACTGATTACCATTGGATGTCTGAGGAAATGGACCCATGACATCTACGGACCACAAGTCACCTATCGCGGTAACTGGAATCGACTGAAGTGGTGGTCGTATACACCGGTCACCTTTCATCAGCTGGCACCGTGGACATCCAAGTACGTATCTTGCTACGTCTTCTCTCATACCTGGCCAGTACATACTTTGTCTTAGGAGATCGGTCGTTCTGGCCACGCCTGTATGCGCTAGCTGGTGACATTCTTCTATCATGTCGTGGCGCGACGATTGAGGTATGACAGCCAGCCAGCTTCCGTCGTTCTCTCGCCAGGTCAGAGTCCCGTAGGCATTCACTCTGAGTCGATCCCTCTGTCTGAGTAGTGTGGTTAGCTCCTTACTCGCCGTAGTTTGATCCACTTCTATTCCGTTGGTGATCACCTGTATTACTGTATTCAGCGTATCGTCCAACCTCTGCCTACGTGC